AACAATAGAGTAAGCATTTTACCATAGTTTAAGAGTATATAATTATAATGTAAGCATATTGTATCGCTTGTACATACTGCATTGATTGTACTGGAAAAATAAACAATGTAATTTTATTTTATACACCCTAAATATATCACAATGTATGTAATCATCGATTTCCTACTTAAGAAACAATTTTAGTATAAAAAGTTTTCGACGATTTAAATTACATTAAAAGTTTACTTTTTCAATTAAAGAAAGTATTTTTTCTTCTTGTTCTTGTATTTTGTTCTTCAACTTGATTATTTCAGAATGATGCGTTGTTTTCATCACATCATTTTTAGACCTTGTTTCTTTCAACTGATCATATATGGCAGATAATTCCTCCTGTAACCTGAAAATATAATCATTTAAAGGAATTTCTTTCACATTGCCAAAATAAAAACATTATAAACTTGCATGTTTTAAACTTTACCACAATTTTGAAAATTTGCGGTTCATCACTTGATAACCTTACTTCTTATACTCATCCTTTATATCTTGATAGTTTTGTTTATGCAGGTTGCATCGCTCACTTTCATCCTTCAAGAGCTTTTGCAGTTCTTCAATATTATTTGCAAATTTTCTTGCATGATTAATTTTCTATAAAAGTGCATACAAAAATGAACAAATATAACAAAACCATAACGGCAAACGGAAAGCAGAACTTAACGTAAATCGTTGACGTAAATAAACAATTCAAATTTAACGGTTACAAAAAAAGCCTCTTACCCAAAAAATAATAAAATGTTTTTTTTTTAAATTGAAGAAAATATTTTGAACTCAAGTTTTAAAAAATTTTTTTTAGATAACAGCTGATATAAATTGTTTCAAAATAAACTGAATATTGAAATTTGGAGTTATTTTAATTTATTAATGTTGCTGGTAAAAAAAAAGTGTTGGAAGCAAAAAAGTTGCTTCTGCTTCAAAGCTAAGTTTCGATTTTCTGCTCTAGTCTTTTGAACTACACATTATAATTATATTTAAATAATCTTATAGATTAAAAATAATAAAATTGCAAAGCATTATTTTTGAATATGTTTTATTAAAGTAGATGCGTACTTGTTCTAGATTTATTTCATCAAGAGTCTTGAATTTAATTGGCGGTAATTTCAATTTTCATATATGGCTAGGCTTATGTATTAATAATATTCAGTAAAACACAACCTGTATTAATATTGAAAACTATAAAAAATAAGAGCATTTAAACATTATTCTCTAAGCGAGTGGAATTTTAAACTGGTAGAGGATATAAAACAAACTTATAATTCGTATAGACAACTTGTGTTCTCATCCAATAATGTGATATTTATTTCTATACCTATTGCTAAAAAAGAGATTGTTTGAATTCAAAAGCTAAAAAAAAAAAAAATTTTTTTTTTTGTAATCTTAGTCATCACAGATGCTTACTCGAAGAGAATATTTAAATTTTTATTTATTAGAAGGAAATTTATTTATTTTTATGTTTGATGAATACATGTTTGTTCACTGTGACAGTTTTAAAAAATATCGACATTTTAAGCTGACATAATTATTAGAAAAAATAATTAATGAAAGTAATAAAGCATTTTTAAATTCTTGGAGCTGAATAATTTTATTTCTACAAAAAAGTTTTTACACTATTACTTATTCAAGTTAAAATCACTTTTAAGGTGGACATTTCACATCTTTATAATTTTCATTTTCAATTTTTTTTAAGCATATGTGTGTGTGTTTTTATGGACAAAATAATGGAATAA